TCTGCAATCGATCATATGGCCTGTGAACACTGGCTTCTAAGAACTCTCTCAAAAAATCGTTACTGCTCTTGTTAATGATGGCCACAGATGCAAGTCTTACCCAGAATATTAAGAAAAGTGTGAATGATACTTCATTTCTGCCATTCAGAATTTTATAGCACAAACGTATATCAACATATTTTCCTTCTGTGTCTGTCTTCTCTTGGACTCCTTATGCTGTAATCATTGCATTCCTAGAATGTGATTTCTTTCCATACCGACTCTACCCTGCCTTCCACACACCCCCACTTGTGGGCAGGACAGGTGAGAAGCCAGTGGGCAGAGCCAGAAGGGCGATCCCAGTCTCCCAAGGAGTATCCATCCAGCTGAAGACTGGCCTGAGAGAGTAGGAACTTACCTCATGGGGGCATGGGATCTGCTGCAAAGGTCTCTTTGTGTCGTGGAGTGAGATTCTCCAAAGCCTTTGTAAGGGCCAGGCCTAGCCACAGAGGACTGCCAAACACGTGCTACAGAGGGTGGAGGGGGTGAGGTGACCACCTGAGGGGCCAGCACTGGAGTCTACAGTAAATTCCCTGTTGCCTCCTCAGCCACGCTCCAGTGCTGTTGAAGGGAGGCAGGTCCACACACATGCTTTAGCCTGAGGGTAAGAGCGACCTTCGATAGCCTGGAGCCCTGACCACATGCGGTGTCTGACATGAGGGCCACCTCAAATCATCCTGTCACCAACATTCTGTCAGCTCAGTCATGCAGCAAATATACTGTGACGGCCAGCAGAAAGGATCTATCTGCTCACCAGGACATCCCATCGGCTTGAGTCCCATGTTTATGAGCAACATCTTGTTGAATGTATGGATAAGGATGGAGGGGAAGAGCTCTCAAAAAAGGGACATCCAAAGACCAGGAACCACATGGGTTCTTGTCTAAGCTTAGCCCCACCTGGATGGCTGTGCTCTTCTGGCTAGTCCTGGGCACTAGAAGGATATTCTGGAAAATTTCTAATGTATGGTGATTAACATAACATAATAAAATAAAATTTAAAAAAAAGAAAATACTTAAAGACCAAAAAAAAAAAAGTGTTCCCTAAATAATACATACATGGGGTGGGGACAATTTTTTTTTTTTTTTTTTTAAGTAGGATCCAACACAGGGCTTGAACTCAAGATCCTGAGATCAAGACCTGAGCTGAGATCAAGACTCAGACGCTTAACTGACTAAGCTACCCAGGCGCCCGCTAAGTAGGACACATGGGATGCAGGCTGACTCCAGGATGCCCTAGTACTGCCAACCTGGCTGGTCTTGAGGTGCTGGAGGGGGCACTTAGGAAGTTTTGAGGACAGCACTTCAAAGCTGGAACATCACTCACCTGAGCCTGAGGGTAGTCCCGAGGTTTATTAGCACCTGGCATACTTGTGGTCTACTTTTGACTTTCTCAGGGCATTTCATGTTAGTATCTTCAGGTGAAATAATTTCCCCAAGGGTAAAGGAAAGTCCTACTCAGTTTTTTTTTTTTTAAAAAAAAAAACAGTCTGGGGCGCCTGGGTGGCTCAGTCGTTAAGCGTCTGCCTTCGGCTCAGGTCGTGATCCCAGGGTCCTGGGATGGAGCCCCACATCAGGCTCCCTGCTCAGCGGGAAGCCTGCTTCTCCCTCTCCTACCCCCCCTGCTCGTGTTCCCTCTCGCTGTGTCTCTCTCTGTCAAATAAATAAATAAAATCTTAAAAAAAAACAGTCTGGAAAAGATGGAAACTATTAAGCTACCAAGTCACCTTACCTTTTCTAGATTAAGACGGGAGTTATTATATTAATTTGTTTCCTTGACATAACCACCTCCATTTTTATGGAGTCACCTGGGGCTCTGGTGAACACAGAGCATGAGACTGACTTAGATAAATCTGAGTGTGCTGGATTACTACTGTTTCTTCTATTCTCCTACGCTGGACTACGACTTTGGGAGTGCCCTTGTGACAACTCCCATTAGGTCATTACCTCTCAAAGATTCTGGCTAGGACAACGGGAGCCCATAGAAATTCCTGAATTGCTGGAGTAATTCAGCAGTCATTGTTGATATTGTTCTCTTCTTGAAGATGGATCTCAATCTTCCCTCCACATCCTGACTGACCATCTACAAAACATTACATGGCTTGAGGCACCAGATTATTGCCTCAGGCTTCTAAATGTTCTCTTGGCAACCTGTCTCGTCCTCCTTTTGTGTGGGCCAGGTAATTCTAATATGCAAATCTATTAATGTCACTTCTACCACTTGTCACCTGAATGGTCTTCACTGTCCTCCATTCCGTCTTTCTGGCCTTCTCCACATTTTTTTTTCTTGCCTACAGGCCTTTACACATGCTGCTTGGCCTACATGGAACATTTTATTGCCCCCTTGTCCCCATTTGCTAATTTATACTTGTTTTTGCGCCTCAACTTAAATTTTACTTTCTCTTGGAAGATCAACATCCCCAAACTAGTCTTCCCTATTATTTCATAAATCACACTTTAATCATTGCTTTTTTATTTGTCCCTTCCACCAGAATACAAATTTTGTTAGAATAGGGACTGCATCTGTCCTGTCTCCTGTCATAAATACTTCGCCTAACACGACAATTTCATAGAAAATTGTGGATGAATAAATAAATTACATAATGTTTACCACTCTATGAAGTCAGCCTTTACGTTAGTCTCATTCTCTAGATGAGAAAACTGAGGCTCTCCAAAGTAAAATCGTTGGATTTCGTACGTGGAGGAACAGTTTACAGCTGTCCTAGCTCTATCATTTTCCTTTTGGACAACCTCAAAACAAAAAAATGTCTTTGTTGTCTTGAAGCTTTAGTGTTTTTCAGGGCAATCATCTTGGTGGTCACTTCCACAGAATCGGGCAGCAGTGGGGTGGGGGTCATGATGTATTATAAAAGTATGGATAGGTGCATTGGAAATCTTCAGAGTTATTTGTATCTTTAGTATAACAGTCTCTATACCATCCCAGTTGTCATCTTTAATATGGGTCTCAGCCAAGTCACAAATATTTCATGACTTGATTATTCCTGCTCTGACTCAGTAATTCTTAACACCCTTCTCGTATCATGAAGAACCTCCAGGTCCTGATACCACACTCCTAATCCATGGCACTCCTCCACCAACAAACAAACAAGCCACCCCAGCTTTGTTCCAGGATCAACAGCGCACAGGGAATGACGTTCACAGCAAAGCTTAGCTCCATATGAATTCAAAGTGGCGGGCAGATTCTTTAATCAAACAATTCTTTGTAACAGAAATGAGATCCTACACGTTTTTCATGTTTGCTGTTGAGAACAAAACTGTCCAATTAAAGAAAATACGAATCACATTGCTACACTAGCTCCTGTGAAAACACCTTGGGTTTTAAAAAAAAGTCTTGTTTTCTCTCATATGCTCTAAAAAAGCTCTATTATCTGTGTACCTATTCTGGAAAGATACATACATATGTGCGAATGTTAACAGACTTATACGTCTCATAGGAAATTCCTTCCCCATCACTACCTCTGGGATCCAGGATTATTAAGACTATGAAAGAACACCATTCTGCAGAGATTTCAAAGCAGTGCAGGTAACATCTGAACATTGCATTTTACTGCAAATGAGAGGAAGAATATGAATATTTGACTGGCCTCGGTCTCTTGCCGTCCTTAAATTTCAGTCTGAAGGAATACAAAGAAGTCAAAACACAGTCTAACTCTGAGAGAGGAGAGCCCAGCCCCCCTCAATAATTTTAAAACAATTAAGCAAGCAATGACAAAGATGAAATCAAAGTATTTTCAAAGGAAGGATCAGGTCACAAGGACAGAAAAATACCAAGTTATGCCACTGATCAGAATTCCTAATAGGATGGTATTAATACTACCAGGAATAATAATACCAGAAGGGGTAATGATACTCTGACAAAGGTAGATAGATAAAACAGGTGGTTTGTATAACCACCCTGTAAGTTACAAATATGGAATTAAAGGTCAGAAGTGTCCACCTTGTATCCGTGTTGGACTCTTAGATGTTTGGTAAGAATTTTCCCCTTGCTTTTACCCATGACGTTTCCTGAAGAGGTAGCAAACCAACACTGAGGGGGCCATCCAGCTAGCAGACATGCTTCATTAGGTTCACACAATGGGTTTTGTTAAATCTATATTTCTATCTTCAGAAGTTGAAGGATCTGGCAACACTGACCTCCATATTGCTGAGTGACAATAGTCATTGGGAGCCGAGCACTTGGCGCCCTTTCAATGGGTCATGTGTTTGCTACAATTGTTTTCCCTTTTATTTTCTTATACCAGCCCTCCTTTATCCATTTTACATCATCTGCCTGGCCCCTTCAAGAATAGGAGCTTGCAACTCCTACTCCACAGAGACTGTCCTTCCCACCCATCTCTACCTGTTCAAATTCTAGTCATCATTCATGGTTCATCTCAAGTGTCAGCCTCTCTTTCCTTTCCTTGACAATCCAATATGAGCTGACCCTCTTTTGAATACTTTCAACATTCCTTACATTTCGGCTGTAGCCCACATAGTACCCAGTAATAATACCATTATTATCTGTATTGTACTTATCTTGCTAGTGTCAGATTTATAAGCTTACACATTCATTCAGCAAAAATTGATTAAGTACAAAGTGCCACAGACTAGATTAAGTTCTGTGGATATTGTGACGAATAAAAGAAACAGGCCCTCGAGGAGATACCAAGAGCAGGATTTCTGTTGCCCAACCCGGCTTCCACCGCAGAGCCTAGGAAAGTGCCTCGTACCTCACTTGGCATTTTTTGAAGTGAATTTTCGGCAGCCATTAACTTTGTTTACACCATTCCATTAAATAAAAGCATTAGAGCTGTATTTCTTCAAAAGGCATTCTGAAAATCAACTTTCATTCATGCATACTAACCTCTAAAGGTTTCTTCTCCCATTCCAGTTACTCTGAATCACCAAGGTTTCATTCTGAAAGAATACTCAGAGTACTCCGATGTCCCTCTAAATTTATTTACCTGGGTAACTGCTGAAAGAGAGGCGACTACTGCTGGTGTCTTTATCTTTGATGTTGAAGTCCCAGTGTTTATATATCCTGAGCATGGCTGCGTATGTGTACCAGCTTGAGTGAGCAAAAAAGATGTTCTCAAATCCGGGAAGAACCTATAGCCAGAATCATAGTGAATGACGCAGAGGTATATAGATAACTGACTACAAGTGTAGAAAGTGTACAGGGATTGTGTCAATTTGGGTGTTCATTACTATATTTATCAGAAAATATGGCCAAGGAGCACAACATTAACCTCTAGTGTGCACAAAACAGACAGACTCTGTCCTTCAAGTATCCAAAATGGAAGACTGTGGGAGGTGGGAGTGGCAGGTGCATATGGCATGAGGAATGGTGGAAGAAACAGAGGTAACATCATGAACTTCCAATTCCCTCCATCAGCTCCTTCTAATTCTTAACTTCTAGACAGAGGACCCATGAGCTTATAGATGGCTCCAGCCAGGGTTGAGATGTGGCCACACTTGGATTGACATATAGAAAAAGTCTGCGTGGCCCGGAGCAAGGAAAAAGACAGAGGCTGCTATGTGTCTCACCTTAATGAGAGCAGAGCAATGTCCCATGTCCCATCTCTTAAAAACCTTCAGGCTGGAATTTTTTGTTTGAGAAACCGAAGGAATCAGATCCAACAGATCTCCAATGGCATTCAGGAACTGAATCTGGAACAGGGTCATGGGCTGGGGAAAAGACAAAGACCCTCTTAACAGTGATTTGTGACAGTTGGATGTCATTTTCTTGTTTTCTTGTTGTCAGGGATCCATTCAGTTATTCATTTGGGAAGGGTCCCTAATGGAACAAATGCACTAGATTTTATTGTAGCTTACAAAATAATTATTACCTTATGGTTTGTAAGAGATGTTTTGGCATGTTTTGATATCCAAAACAATAGCGGTATTTGGGGCCAAATAATTCTTCCTTGTGAGGGGTTGTGCACTATAAAATATTTAGCAGCCTGTCCCCATTAGTATCAGTAACACCCTCCTGGTTTTGATTACCAAAAATGTCTCCGGGCATTGCCGATTATGCTCTGGAGGGAGACTGCCCACAGTTGAGAATCACTGCTTTACAGCAAAATATTTAACGGAGATACTTTTTGATTTTGATTGTGGGTTTCATGGTAGGACTAACTGGCTCGACAGCATTTACCTCAAAGCAATGATCAGACTTGAACATGAACTTCATGCCAACTAGAGAGCACTGTGCCAGCAAAAGTCAGTCCACCAGAGTAGCCTGGGGCTGAGCATCTACAAATTGGCTTTTAGGCAGAGTTGGTGAAAAGACAAACACCAATGACATGTTAACTGGAAAACGAAAGCAAAGAGAGCAAAAACCAGAGCCTGATTATTTATTTATGTGCATATTCTCTTTGTGTTGTCCTTTGACTAAGTCATACTTTCATTATTCAAAATTCAAAAAATTATGATGGGGCGCCTGGGTGGCTCAGTCAAATGAGCATCAGACTCCTGATTTTGGCTCAGGTCATGATCTCGGGGTCGTGGGATTGAGCACCATGTCGCGCTCTGCGCTTGAGATTCTCTCTCTGCCCCACCCCAAATAAATAAATCGTTAAGAAAAAATTATGATAAGATCAGTAGTGGAAATGCTCCTCACTCCTATCCTCCATTTGTTCGGGTACCACCCCGTCTCCAGTTTACCACTTTTATTGGTTTCTGTGTCTCTCTCCAGACTTTCTAATGTGTCTTATAAATACATTTTTACACAAATGGTAGTGTATTATATGCACTACTTTTCACCTTGATTTTTTTTCCTCTTAATATTTTTCACTCGTTTTGGCAATCTTTCCATATTAGATGTAAAAATCTTCCTCATTCTCTTAAACAGTATTCCAGTAAATGGATTGCACTATATTTTAACCAGGGTTATACTGATGGACTTTCAGGGGCTTTCTAGTCTTTTGCTGTTATAAACAATGTTACAATAATCCATCTTGGACCCATGATTTTGTATGTGTGTAAGTCCACCTGTAGGACAGATACCTAGAACTGGTTTTGATTTTAATAGACGTTGCCAAATTGTTTTCATAGGGCTTTTTTTAATAGACACTCTTCCAGCCTCAACAACATACTGAGTTTATTTCCAATTGGATAGGCAAAAAACAGTATCTCATTATAGTTTATATTGGCAATATTTTATGAGGAATAAGGCTGAGCATGTTTAAAAACCTTTGGATTTTTTTTTTTTTTGCAAACTGTTCATATGCCTTATTTATTTTTCTCATTCTTTTTCTTATTAACTTTTAGGAGTTTTTTAAATATTAAGATTAGTTCACTGCCTGATATGAATTGCAAATACTATTTTTCAGTTTTTAATTTGCCTTTAATTTTTTGCTTTTTTAATTTCTTTAGTTTATTTTTTTTAAAGATTTTATTTATTTATTTATTTGTCAGAGAGAGAGGAGGAGGGAGAGAGAGAGCACAAGCAAGGGGAGCAGCAGGCAGAGGGAAAAGCAGGCTCCCCATGCCTTTATTTTTTTAATTAAGAATGATACCATACAAAAAAAAAAAAGAATGATACCATACATATGAAAGAATAAAGATGCATATGCACAATTTAAGAAGAAAAAAAACACTTATGAACCGACCTGACAGATTAGGAAATAAAACATTAGCTGTGCCTTGGAAGCCTCCAATCTCATCTCCCTCCTTACCAGCAGTAACCACTCTGCTAAATTCTGTGTGGCTCATTACCCCCTTTTCTGTTACTTTGTCATTTGTGTATACATCCCCAGACAGTGTATTTTTAAATTTGTCTGCTTTTGTGTTTGTATAAATAGAATCATATTGCGTACATTCTTCTGTTCAACATTGTTTTTTTGACATTCATCAATGTTGATCGTGTAGAAACAGCACATTCATGTTCATTGCTATAAGGTATTCAATTACATGAATATATGGTACCATGATATACTTACGATGAACATTTGGAGCGTTTCCAGTTTGCAGCAAAACAATGGTACCGTGAACTTTTATGTACACAGACCCCCCCACATACAAGAATGTCTTTAATCTCTGGGTGGATTTGCTAGGTTGTAGAACATATGTTATCTTTAAATGTTTCAAGTAACATCCAATCCTTTTCCAAGGCAGTTGGAACAATTTACTCAATCCAGCAGTGGTTAAGATTTCCCACTTCCAGTGTGTAATAGAATCCCATTGAGGTTATTTATTTATTTATTTTTATTTTAAAGATTTTCTTTATTTGAGAGAGCGAGAGAGCAAGAGAGGGAGAGAGAGAGCACAAGCAGGGGAGTGGCAGAGGGAGAGGGAGAAGCAGACTCCCTTGGGGATCCCAGTTTGAGGGCCCACTCTGGGGCGATCCCAGGACCCTGAGATCATGACCTGAGCCGAAAGCAGACGCTTAACCAACTGAACCACCCAGACCCTCCCTCATCAAGGTTTTAATCTGTGTATCTTATTGAAATTAAGCATTTCTCCACATTTTTATGGGCCATTTTTGTTTCCTTTTCTGTGAAATTCCTGTTGATATTTTTGCCCATTGCTTTTTTTTCTATTGGGTATTTTCTTTTTTTTAAATTTGTTATTCTTTACGTATTTCTGAAACAAACCCTTTGTTAGTTAAATGTATTGCAAATATTTTCTCTTGGTTTGTAAGTTATTTTTCCACTTTCTATACAGTGTCTTCTGATGAAAAGAAATTTAATTAGCTGAATTTATATTTTTCTTCATGGCTAGTACTTTTTTTGTCTTGTTTGAGATATTGTTGCTTACCCTAAAACATAGTCTCCTAGGGGATGCTCAGTGCTACTGGATCAATGCTACTCTCATTATTTCTAAGCCTTCTCAAGGGGGCAAAGTAAGAAAATATGTATTTTTTTAAGGAAGCTAAAAGTAATGATTTCTTGCCTCTATAACTTTAAAAACTACAAGGTCTCAACTTCATTGACTTTTCTTATGTTGAAAATCTTGATAGTCAATGTATTTATTTATTTGCTTTATCTTACTATATTTATAAAATTTTAAAATAACAACACTAATATTATTGCTAAAGTGAGATTACTGAATTACAGTTTAAGGTTGTTTTGTTTTTGTTTTATGGTGGTGGTTCTTGTCCTTAGGATGTATCCCATTAAGGATGTATAGTGATAACTGTGTTAAGGTCACTGGAAATAACCACTCTCTGTGTGGTTATGCCATGAACTTGATATATAGTTAGATATATTCATGCCAATTCATTTTAAGATTTTAGGGACTGTTTTTCTTCCGTGTGATTAAATTTTGTTTTATAATTATGAACAGCATTTACATGGTTCCCAAGTCAAATATATATAAAGATACATTCAGAGAAATGTATATTTCATTCCTGTCCCCTCCCTTTTCTGGTAGGTAATCTTTTTTTTTTTTAAGTATTGGGTTTATTCTTTCATTGTTGTTTATTCTTGGCAAGTTAAGCAAATCAGTCTATCTATCTATCTTTCCATCATCTTATTTCCATTTCTTACGTAAAAGACAACAAACAATTCACACTGGTCTTCACCTTACTTTTTTACACTTCATACCAGATCCTGAACCTCACTCCATAACAGTATTTGGAGATCTACCTCATTCCTGTTACAGCCACATCATTTACGCAGCCAGTCTTCTATGTATTTGGCTGTTTTCAGTGTTTCTGATATTACAAATTATCTGCAATGAAGAGACTGGCACATAAGCCATATTGAATTTTTGTCTGTGAACCTTGGTGATAATCGTAAAAATGGGATTCCCGGATCAAAGGGTATATGAGTAGGCGATTTGGGTACTGAGTGCCAAGTTTTCTCTCCATAGCAAATACACTGTTTTGTATTACTACCAGTATTTAGGGAAAGGGCTTTTTTTCTCCCTTAGTCTTGCCAACAGGGTAGACATTCACATCTTGGAATTTCTGCCAAATTGACAAGCGAGAAAGTAGAGAAGTATGTTTCAGGATGGTTTTAATGTGTATTTCTAAACTTATGAGTAAGGCTTGGTTCATATGATTAAGAATTTTTTGCATCGCTTTTCTGTGAACTGTCTTTTTGTTTATTTTGTCCAATGTGTGTGTGTGTGTGTATATATATATATATATATATATATATATATATACCCAGTGTGTGTGTGCATGTGTGTGTGTGCGTGCGAACAAATGTGTGTCATAGAGGGTGGGAAGCATAGAACTTGTACTTTTAGACATTTTGTCTTAACAATTATATCACCAAAGATACTAACTTTATTAGGTTAGTTAAACAGCCAGTACATTCATTCAGTACATTCTTTAACCTACTCCAGAGCATAGTATTATGAAAGAGATTAAGAGCTAAAGAGATTGTGTGTTAAGCCTGAATTTTCTGTCACTGAGTCAGGTGCTAGCAATATAACAAGACAGTGCTTGTGTGTAAGAAATTTATGTGCTAGTCCTAATTTGACCTGCTTCTAGGTTGCAATGTTATTTTAAAGGTAATTTTCAGTATTCTTGCCATTCTTTCAATATTCTTGCCATATTTTAAAGATAACTTTCAATATTCAATATTCTTGGCAATAATATTGCCAAATGCCAATATAAATTCTGAGCAGCTTTTTAAAAATCTTACCTTTGTCCTTTCTAACTTAGCCCTCCTCATTGCTCCTACATACAGCCCATTCATTTGTGTCATAACATAGCCTATATGTCTCCAAAATGGGTCATCCTTGTAATCTTTTATGTTTTTCCGGGTCCACTGATCTTGCTTCCTGCAAGAGAAATTAGATTTGCTCTAGAGATCTCCATGGTTGCTCATCCAAAGCTAAATTAAACCCAGGCATTTAGAGATTATATATTCAGATACTTATGCTAGTGTAATTTACATTCTAGATCTTGTAACATTCCAATCATTTTGAAAGGCTAACAGAGCAAATCCTAAATGATTTTCAAATTCTTCCTAGGACTACGACTCTTCCTTGATAGCTTCCTGCATGCTCTATCTAGGTCTAACATTTAGCCTCTTGTGATACTGAAATCTACAAAAGTCAAGGATAGACCATCCAAATGCATTTCATATAAAACCACAATGTCTCACTAAATCGGTACAGATAAATCATTAACTTTTTTTTGTATATGGAAGTCATAAAGTTAAAGAACAACAACGACAACAAAAAACTCCTAAGGACAGGGTAGTTTATATACATTTATATTTCTCTCCAATCGTTTTCATAGTTTATGATTCATTCAATTTCAGTTGTTACCAGTAACTGCCTCAACACCTCTGTCCTAGCATGCTTAGCAAGAGAGTCTTGTTTTTTATAGTCCTTCCATTCTGTCTCTCCTCTTTTAGTTCTCTGCACTTTCTAGGGAATGATTTGACATAACTCTGTATACTGAAAGTTATTTCTGATCTGTTCAGTCTATCTCCAGATCAGCCTTAGAATACAGGTCATTGCTTCACGGGATCTAGCCCAATAATTTTTAACGATGCTCTGTAGGACTTTAGCATTCGACAAAGAGGTTGCTCAATGTATGATCTGGAGGGCCAAACCAGGAGCCCTTTTGTCCCCAGATTAATCACAGTCACAAATATAAAACAAATCCCACATATAAAACAAATAGACTACAACTTTTCTGAATATTGAGAATTACTAAGTTTCCAGAAGACTTGATTACAATGACCATGTTCTCTGAGGATGTTCAGAATAAAGACTAGTAACAGCCAGTACTCCAGCTAAGAAGAGTAACCAGGCCCATGACACAGAAGTACCTCAGAGGGAGGAGGAGGGATCCCTAAAGGATCCTCAGGCGGAAGCAATCCAGGCATTTAACTTTGCCTTCCTTACACTGATGGTGTCTTCCTCCAGATGTGTAATCGATAATGACATTCAACCTGACCTTTGAAAGAGCCCAAATTAGAAGACATGTTGTCTGCAACCAGTTTTCATGTCATTACCCAAATGTGCTAAACCTTACCACAAGACCAGCTCTGGAGTCCTGCCTAAGAGATAGAAAAGCAAATTGGCAAAGGAAAAATTGCTCTTTGCAATGACAGATTCAGGCCCTGCAGTCTCAATAACAAGAGGAAAGCTATTATACATACTCCATAAAATCTTGCACTTTATCCACGATGGAAGGTTTCTTAATCAACTGTGGGTAGAGGTTAATGAAGTGGTCATACATGTGTCTGAAACAGAAGAAAATGGTTACATTTCTATTTTTCTTCATAGAGTAGTCCATCATAGCAGATTATACAATTTTTTGGACTAACTATAAAGTCCCCCTATTGCAAACCTGTCCTATCTTTTTTTTTCTTTAAAGATTTTATTTATTTATTTGATAGAGAGAGAGAATGAGAGCACAAGCAGGGGGGAGTGGGAGAGGGAGCCTTAGCAGGGAGCCTGATGCCGGACTCTATCCCAGGACTCTGGGATCATGACCTGAGCTGAAGGCAGACGCTTAACCAACTGAGCTACCCAACCCCCGCCAGATATAGATTTAGTAATAAATAATGTACAGTACTACTTAGGTTTCTGAACAAAACATAAACAAGATCATACTATCACTCTAATATTTAATTCTCTCACCACAACATATGTTATCATCTGCAGTTTAAATTTATTATTTTCATCTGCTGATAGTATTCCATGGTATTACTACATAAGAATTCATGCATGCAACCTCAAACATTGTTGTAAATGTCTCTTCTTACATATTTGCATGTTCTTCTGGAATATATTTAGCATATATAAAAGTAGAATTGTGGCATTGAATAGCCTATATTATCTATAGTTACTAGATATTGCCAAGTTGTTGTTCATAGGGATTGTACCCATTTATATTCCCACCAGCTACGGATTAGACTTCTCCTGGCTCCATAGCCTCACCAACACTTGATATAATCACACTTTTTAATTTTTTTTTTGAAGATTTTATTTATTTATTCATGAGAGACAGAGAGAGAAAGAGACAGAGGCAGAGGGAGAGGCAGGCTCCCCGCGGAGCAGGGAGCCCGATGCGGGACTCGATCCCGGGATGCGAGGATCATGACCTGAGCCGAAGGCAGTCGCTTAACCAACTGAGCCACCCAGGCGTCCCACACACTTCTTAATTTTTGACAATTTAGATGGTTTCTCATTATTTTAATTTTCTTCCCCCCCTTATTGGCTATTTGGGATTCTTTATTTTAAAACTTACTTTTAAAATAATAAATAAATAAATAAATAAATAAATAAATAAATAAATAAATAAATAAATAAATAAAACTTACTTAAAAAAATAAATGTGGGGGCACCTGGGTGGCTCAGTAGATTAAGTGTTTGACTTCGGCTCAGGTCATGATCTTGGGATTCTGGGATGGTGCCCTATGTCTGGTTCTCTGCTCAGGGGGAGAATCTACTTCCCTTCTCCCTCTTTCTCTGCCCCTCCCCCCACTCATCCTCTCTCTCTCTCTCTCTCAAATGAATAAATAAAATCTTAAAAAAAAAATAAATGTGTTGGGGCACCTGGGTGGCTCAGTCAGTTATGTGTCCGACTCTTGATTTTGGCTCAGGTCATGATCTCAGGGTCGTGAGATCAAGCGCTGCAATGGGTTCTGTGCTTAGGGTGGAGTGTGCTTGAGATTCCCTCTCTCTCCCTCTGCCCTTGCCCCCACCCCCCCATCCCCACTCACATGAGTTCTCTTGCTCTCTCAAATAAATAAATAAATAAATAAATAATTTAATTAAATTAAATGTGTCTCATGCTGTAAACATTTTTTAATTGATATAATTAACATATAACATTGTGTAAGTTTAAGGTGTATAATGTGTTGATTTGATACACTTATAGATTACAATATAATTACTACTGTAGCATTAGCTAACACTTCTATCACATCACAAAATTACTTTTTTTGTATGGTGAGAACAATTAAGATCTAGTTTTGTAACAACTTTGACATTTATAATACAGTATTGTTGACTATAATCACTACATTGTGCAATAGATCTCCAGGACTCATTTATCTACTAGTTACAAATTTGTACCCTTAAACATCTCCCCAATTAATTGATGAAAATAATCCATTTATATTTATTTTGATTTAATATGTTTGTAAGTGTTTGCACAATCTTTTCTGTTTTCCATTTACTGTTTCTTTCTTTGTCCCCCTTTTTATGTTTCCCTTGTTTAGATAACATTTTCATTATCCTTCTTTTTACTTCTGCTAATTTAAAAGCTGTAAAATCTATTTCTATTCTTTTAGTGATTATCATGAATTTTTAGAAACATTCATAACTATGAATTTCCTTATAAAGTCTAAATGATTTTATATTTCTCTCCTCTTCCAAACATGATTCATATTTTAGCAAGTTTTAACTGACCATTGACACCCCATCATAGTATTGTTCAAAGATTTAGTTTTATTTTTTAATTAAAATTTTTCTATTAAAATATCTTTTTAACTTTTACAATCAAATTTTATTAACTTCTTTGTTTCTTGTATTAACTATTGCTCCTTATATCCCAAAATTTCCCTCCTGCTATTTTTGTTAATGTACACACTATTATAGTTTAATAGAAGCCTGTGGGTGGTAAAACATTTTAATTTATGTATATGAAAATATCCTTATTTTGCCCTTGCTCTTAGATGATTTAAATGGTTATAGAATTTGAGTTTAGTTATTTTCCTGTAGTACTTTTAAAATATTATTTTCATATCATCTGGTTTTATTGTTGCTGATGAGAAATGTGTTGCCAATCTAGCTGAGATTTCAATGTCTTTTCTTTCTAATAGTTTTTTTTTTTTTTAAGATTTTATTTATTTGACAGAGAGAGACACAGCGAGAGAGGGAACACAAGCAGGGGGAGTGGGAGAGGGAGAAGCAGGCTTCCCACTGAGCAGGGAGCCTATGCGGGGCTCAATCCCAGGACCCCGGGATCATGACCTGAGCCGAAGGCAGACACTTAACAACTGAGCCACCGAGGTGCCCCTCTAATAGCTTTTTTTAAAAAGATTTTATTTATTTATTTGTCAGAGAGAGAGAGAACTCACAAGCATGGAGAGTGGCAGGCAGAGGGAGAAGGAGACTCCCCATTGAGCAAGGAGCCCAATGTGGTATTTGATCCCAGGGCCCTGGGATCATGATCTGAGCTGAAGGCAGATGCTTAACTGAAGGCAGACGTCCCTCTTTCTAATGGCTTTTAAGATTATTTGTCCCTGGCATCTCTGGGTTGCTCAGTCGGTTAAGTGTCTGACTCTTGATTTTGGCTCAGGTCATGATCTCAGGGTTGTGAGACTGAGCCCCGTGTTGGGCTCCACACTGGCGTGAAGCCTGCTTGAGATTCTCTCTCTCCCTCTCCCTTTGCCCCTCCCCCCCAAAAAACCATTTTTTATAAGATTATTTATCCCCAATTTTCTGTAGTTTCGCCCACAATGTTGTAGCAATTTAATAGATGTGTCTTCCGACTAAGGACTCATGTGTTTCTAAATGTTGATAAATTCTCAACTATTACCCTGTCAACTATTGCTTAGCTGCAATTTCCTCCAGTCACTTTTTCTGGGATTCCTAATAGATGTATGTTGAAGTTTCTTAATCAAACTGCTCTATCTAATAGCGGGTCTCTCATTATTTTTACCCTTTATCTCTTTGGGAAATGTTTTATGTAAACTCCTCAATACTAATTTCCGATTCAGATTTTTTCTCTGATTGTGTCAAGTTCAGAGTTTGCCCATTTATCTTTTTTTTTTTAATTTCCATAACTTTCATTTATAATATTTCACAGTTTCTTTAAAAGTCTACCTGTCCTCTTATTTATTCCTTTTTTGTTTCATAAATTCTTCAAGTTTTACATCATTTATAACTAAGAGTGTCTTAGGCATATTTAAAGCCTTTATTAAACCCTTCTATGAAATTAATCTGGAGTGTATTCATGATATTATTGTTGATTTTGTTGACTGTTTTTCTTTCTTTCTTTTTTTAAAGATTTTATTTATTTATTTATTTATTTATTTATTTATTTATTTATTTATTTATTTGACAGAGAGAGACACAGTTAGAGAGGGAACACAAGCAGGGGGAGTGGGAGAGGGAGAAGCAGGCTTCCCACCAAACAGGGAGCCTGATGTGGGGCTCGATCCCAGGACGCTGGGATCATGACCCGAGCCCGAAGTCAGGTGCTTAACAACTGAGCCACCCAGGTGCCCCTTGTTGACTGTTTTACTTAGCAGTCAATTTCTTTGTGTATTTTGGAACTTTGGTATGCAAGCATTTCAAGTTATTTGTTTATATTCTCATATTCTCTCTCCTTTTTTTCTCTCTCCCTACCTTCACCACCCTCCTCTCACTTTTCCCTAAATGACTGCATCTGACTCTGGGAAAACCAGGTCTTATAGTGGCTTTTTGGAAACTTCTTTCCTATGGGGATATTGCAGATATATCTGTAATTGAACCAGCACATGGATGATTTGGTTCTTGTTGGCCCACCCCAACCCCCCCCCAATCGTAAGCTCATGGTTTCTTATAATCTGTACACTAGGATGCACATCAGTATAAATTATTCTGTGGCCTCTTAATTTTATAAACCGTCAAAAGCATCGAGGTTACTTCAGTTCAGCCTCGACTCAGCTCACTCAAGTCCTGAGGCCTTCACCCATCAGCGGGGATGGCTGTCTCTGCCTGTTTCATGCCAAGAGCCCAGCAGATCCACAATTCATCACTGTTTTCTATAACTATTTCTGGCTCAAAAGATGTTTAATCTTGTTTTGGGACCCACTGTATTACTATAATGCTTTCTATATATTTTATCTACCTTTTGCTATAAGTTTGGAGCAATGCTCTCTGGACTGAAAATTTATCTAAGGTCCTAGTTCTGGTTTTTATTTGATGCTTTTTACTGACTGAGGAAGGTTGGCATTGTAAACAGGAGGTGGTGACTCAGATTCCAAGAACAGGATGCTATACTTTGGAACTTTAGATATCATTTATCTAGTAATTTCCAGAACTAAAACTGATAAAATGAGAATAGTTCTATTGCCAGTTAGGTAAACAACATTAAAATCCTTTGAAATCTTTTATGATCCTTGAATTCAATAAATTCACTTCATGAGAGCTTTTCCTTCAAATTCTTTCTTTTTTTTTTTTTAAGATTTTTATTTATTTATTTGAGAGAGAGACAGAGAGAGAGCACATGAGAGGGGGGAGGGTC